ATGGTACCTGATGTCATCAATCAGATAAACTAGAACTTTGGATAGTTTGACTAAATCTTTTCACATTCGTGATGACTCCAGGAATAATGATGCTTGATTTCCAGCGCAGTACCCAAGTGAGTCGTGATATTGGGTAAAGGCATTGCAGGCCAAAGGTCCTCCTACTTAGAGAAGGAGGTCCTTCAGCCTGCAATGTCTCTGCCCATTGTCACGACTCACTGGGGTTCTGTGCTGGAAATCAAGCACCATTATTCCTGGAGTCATCACGAATGTGAAAAGATTTAGTCAAACCATCCAAAGTTCTAAGTTTATCTGATTGATAAACTCAGGTTAAAAGAAAACTCCCACCAGTTTTCTATGATTAACAAGATATTAACTGCTTATTAGAAACAAATTGACTTTAACCAATCACAATTAGGAAATATAAATTGCTAAGTCATAACTCTACAACATAAACTGTATCCCTTCTTGAATACCCCTTTCAAAAACAGACAAACACTCAAAGACTGAGAAGACATGGATATTAAAAGTGGTAAAAGACAAGAAGTTCAAGGAAACACAGTTTGCTAGCTCCAGTCTGAGCCACGGGATTCAATGTGTTGCTTTCTTTCTCTTCCTTTCTATTTCTTGTTAACAAAAGGTTGTTTGCACACTGATGCTATTCTGCATTTACTGGTTGAGAATTTGTCTTTTCACTATCTTTGAAGCATTTTATTTCTTCAGTGGGGATTTGTATAGAAAGGTTATAGGAAGACAACTAACTATTACTTGGGACTTTCAAGTACCTTCACTCATGGGAAAGAGAGACAGTGAGATTTTTTGACGCCGTTTCTTTGCAGGCTAAGTGGTTCTGTTCTCCACACAAGCCATGGTCATCTGGTCAGGAGCCAATCAGAGCATTGTTGTCAAGAAATTTTTCTTTCATTCGGAACTCATTTGCAATGCGGTGTCAGCTTCAGTTTTCAATGTTCCAACATCATATGCGATGAACAATGCATTCCAAAAAAAACAGACTTTTTAAACCTACTGTTTGCACTGTCTCGTTGGTTTAAAGCAGTATCTTCCTTCTTAGTCTAGAGTCTAAACACTGTACGTGTGTTCTTGTCCAATTTTCCCTTGAATTTTGCATATTAAATGTAACTATCAATTGTAGTGTCTACTCAATACCTCTTTGTATGTAGGTTTTTTTTTGCTTAATCTCTAGCAGCCCTATGTCCTCGTAGGACTATGGTAACTTCATAGCTTTTTGTACTGAATTCATAAGTCTCAATTGCTAACCTAACGTTCAATTTATCTCACATACTTATCCCTTTAAGAGCATCTGTCACACTGTCTAGCTGTGCTGCTGGATATTTAAATCTCAAAGGTAAAGTCATCGTAGTCCCAGAGGTCCACAGGGCTGCTCTCTCATTAGAGAGTGATGACTGGTGGTAGTTTAACCTGACAGTCACCACGCCTCAGGGGAGGGGAGAGGTTGACAAGGAGAATCCTTCATGGTGACCTCAGCCTGTGTGGGAATTAAAACCACACTCAGACCATGACAACTGACTGCAGGAAAAGGCGCACGTGGTTTGACTATCCTGAAAACGAGGAGAGAGTTTTAAAATTGTGGAAGGATTTGATAGAGTGGATCCAAGTGGAACATTTCCACTTGTGGGGAAAAGCGTAACTAAAGGTCACGAGGGAATTCAGAAGAAACTTTCTGCAGATTGTTCAGGACATAAAACTTACTACCCAAGAATGATTGAAATAGAAAAGGTTCCTGCTGGTGTTATATTTGTTTCTATTGCCGACTGCTTTCAATTGGTGCACTGTAGGTCTCAATCTTTTCACAAATGGGAGGATGTTCTGACCAAACTCATTGTGATTTTGAACACTTTGATTGGATCTGCTCTGATCCTTCTCTTCTCTTTTAGGAAATCAGTCCTGACTTTTCACGTCACCTTCATAACTTCTTGAGTGCAGGAAGTGTACACATGCAAGTGGGTTCGATTACCAGGAATTGTTTACAAGTGCCTGACTGAGGAAAAACATTCAGTTACAGGGTGACAATGTGCCGAAAACCTCGAGGGTATGTTTTTTGGGGGGAATGGGAGATAATTAGTAATCTCTTTCAGTGTCTGGGTACAGATTGCCAGAAGTTGACCCATGACTGTCATTTAAAGCTGTAAGCTGAAAAATTATACTCCACTGAAGGAACCTGTCATGTTTCTGGACCAGTAGCTATCCCTTGGAAGCTCCTGCTCGACTGTACGGGTTGGGGGGATGAGGGCAGTAGCTATAAATTGCCCCACTAGCTGACATGACAGTTCTGAGGCTCCTTCCTGCCTCTGGGCCAATCTTTCACATGGTTGGTAGCCCGCTTAGAGTGGCCAATTGAAGAAAGCTGTTTTTCAACTTTCAAGCAGGAACCAGTTTAAGTGCCTGGAGGTGGCCACACAGTGGGTCAGCAATCCAGGCTGCCCTCTCCCAGACACTTCCCCCTACTATCTGACTACAGGAGCAGCCATGTGCTACCCTTGAGGGGGAGCCGCACCTCCCCTGTCTTACACTCACACTGCTGGCCTGTTTTCAGAATTTTTCTTTTGTTAAGGTTTTGATAAATTTGCAGGGAGAGATTTCCATATTGAAGCCTTCACTCTTTTGCTTACTTTCCCTTAAGAACCTCTGCTCCTCCCATGCTGGAAGCCTTATGATTGGCCCTCCATGTTTGATAGCTGATCCACTTTTGTTTCCACGGTCAAGGAACGGGTGTCTGTGCTAGTTAAGATGTCCGCTCAAAAATCCTAGCTCATGGCTGTATCCACTCCTCCCTTGACCTTTGTTCCCTCACCTCAGAGGGCAGTAAACCATGTGTCTGCTTCCAATTCCCCACCATCTTGATTCCATTGATGTGATTACTTTTTCATGAGAAGATCATGATTGTGAGATTTCTTCTTCACAATCCTTCCAAGAAACAGCCTTTTGGATAACTGAGTATTTATCTTTTATTTGACAGGAGGGGCTGATGGTCACTAAATTGAGCGTGGAATATCTAAAGAAGTTAGTAGTTGCTGGATTGTTAAGGGATACAAAATGGCCACCTGAGCTGTACATGGCTGCTCTCTGTGAGACAAGATTTGTCGACGTTTGTATGGAGCACAAACAAGACGAGGGCAAACCCTTTCAGGCTATCTTTGCTAGAGTAAATAAAGCCCGAATGTGCGGCCTTCCTACCTCAATAATTTGGGTTTGCTGAAGCTATTATGTAATCCTTTTATAATATTTAAAAATAAATTGGAAGACACACTTCAGTTTCAGGAAGATCAGAAATGGAGAATAATTTTACTTTGGGTTTTGCTGCCCCTTTTGGAAATAAAACATTGCAGCTGAAACATTTTAGAAAGGACAGCAAAGGAAAATGGGAGGTAGAGTCTCTGTACCTACTGTAATAATGGCAGGAAAAAATATAAAGAATCCATATGGATAGAGATAAAAGAAGATGAAGGATCAATCGCACTATTATATATAATCCACAGACCGACCACTACTGAAAGAGAGTCGAAGGAGGAAGTGTGCAGATAAATCAAGAAATTGAGTTAAAAGGAGATCCTAAAGGGTATTAAAATAGAATTCCTACAATGCATACAGAATTTCTTTCTAACCGAATATGTAACAAAAAACAAAAAGATTTTCTTTTTGACGTAGTAATGAGGAGTGAACCTCATGATGAGAGAAGTAAGAATGGAAAAATATAGGTAGTAGTGATGAAAATATAATCTACTTTAAGATGACAATAAGGAACAGCATAAATATTACAAAAACTGTGGAGAAAAGCTGATTTTCTTAGATAAAGCTGAGAACAATAACTTAGGAAAATAAAATGGACAACACTGTTGGGTGATCATTTTAAAAGGGGGAATCTTCTTTTGCCGATCTTACTGAACTGTTTTGAGGAGGGACCAAGAAAGTAGACAAGAGTAACGTAGCAGGTGTAATTTGTATGGACTTTGAAAGGCCCCTCAGTAAGTTGTTCTAATTGTTCAGAAATATGGGGCTTTTCAGGCCATTTATTACCCATCTCAAATTGTTCTGGAGAAGGTGGTGGTGACCTGCCTTCTTGAATTGCTGCAGTCCACTTAAGGTTCCCTTTAATCGATTAATCAAAACAGTCAAGTTATGTGAAATCAGAATATTTGGCAGAACGGATTACGAGCTGACTGCATGAGTAAATCAGAGAAAGGGAGTAATGGGTAGTTATTTAGAGTGTCAGAAGGTAGAAATTGGTATTCCACATGGATCAGTGTTGAGACCACTGACATTCACAACTTACATTGATGATTGGACATTGAGATAAAAAACACAACTTCCAATGTTTGAATGGCAAATTTGTGGATTGTTGGGGGTGTGAGGTGGGTGCGGGTGGTCTGAGTCCGGTTATCATCATCAATACTAAGGGATATCTGCAATAAAATACAGGAGGATATCAATCAGCTTGCATTGGGGAAAAATAATTATGAAATAAAGTTCAATGCAGATAAATGTGGAATTGTCCATTTAGGATGAGGAGGGATTTAAATCACTTATCACACAGAAAATGTGAGTCTAGCTGTCATGGAAGAACATCAAAATCTTGAAGTGCAAGTAAATCACAACAAATCATTAAAGGCTGTGCTGTAGGTGAGTAAGGCCATCAAAGACAGCAAATTCTGGACTAGGTTTTAATTGTAGAGGAATAGAATCAAAAAGTAAGGAGATTACTGTAAATCTGTATTGAATCTTAGTCAAACCTTACTTGCAGTTCTGGTCACCTTATCATCAAAAGGATGTGGAGCCAAAGGCAAGGGTGCAGGAAAGATATTACAAAGGTGATACCAGAAATGCATGCAGATACCTGTTAAAGTCTCTATTTTCTTGAAAACTAGGAGAGAGTTTTAAAATTGTGGAAGGATTAGATTGAGGGCATCCAAATGGAACATTTCCACTTGTGGAGAAAAGCATAACTAAAGGTCACGAGGGAATTTAGAAGAAACTTTCCACAGATTGTTCAGAACATAAAATTCACTACCCGAGAATGATTGAAATATATAGTAAAGATGTATTTAAGGAGAAGCTAAACAGAACTGTGGGGGAGAAGGGAATAGACAGTTACATTAATCACTTCAGATGATATAAAGTGAGAGGAAGATCGAATGGATAGGAACCGGTTGGGATGAATTGCCGTTTTCTGTGCTGTAACATGCTACAATTTTAACCATCTTATTAATAGTTACATTAAATAGATTTTTGTAAATAATGTTTTGAGATTTTTTTTCTGGAAACATACGAAGCCTTTCATTTTAATGGTTATGCTGTATGCAGTTGGTTGTAAGCAATTGAATTGGATGGCAATGAGACATAACAAATTTGTTTATTGAGGACAGTCATCCGGTCTCCCACTATAAAACCCAAAAGAACTGCAGGTGCTGTAAATCAGAAACAAAAACAGAAATTGCTGGAAAAGCTCAGCAGATCTGGCAGCATCTGTGAAGAGAAAATCAGAGCCCTGCACAGCTCGCTCTACCTCCTTCCTAAAATCCACAAAAAGAACTGTCTGGTTGGACCCATGTTTCACCTTGCTCCTGCCCCACAGAACTCATCTCTTCCTACCTTGACTCAGTCTTCTCTCCCCCGATCCAAGCCTTGCCCACATACATTCGTGATGCTTCTGATGCTTTACGCCAGTTTCAAAACTTCCGGTTTGCGGGTTCCAGCCACCTCCTCTTTGCCATGGACGTGAAATCCCCTTACATGTCCATTCCCCACCAGGAGGGTCTTAGGGCTGTCTGCTTCTTCCTGGATCAAAAACCTGAACCACCGCCACCCACCACCACCTTCCTCCGCTTGGCCAAGCTCGTCCTCACCCTCGACAACTTCTCTTTGAATTCCTCTCATTTTCTTAAGGTCAGACAGGTGGCCATAGGTACCTGCATGGGCCCCAGTTATGCCTGTCTCTTCGTAGGGTACATGGAACATTCCTTGTTCCAGTCTTATTCCAGCCCTCACCCACAACTCTTTCTCTGATATAGAAATGATATCATCGATGCTGCTTCCCTCTCTCATCTGGAATTGGAAAAGTTCATCGATTTTGCTTCCAATTTCCACCCTGCCCTCACTTTCACTTGGTCTATCTCTGATTCCTCTCTTCCCTTTCTAGACATCTCCATTTCTGGGATAGATTGGCCATTAATATCCACTATAAAACCACTGACTCCCACAGCTACTTGGACTATACACCCTCTCACCTTGCTTCCTGTAAAGACTCTATCCCATTCTTTCAGTTCCTGCATCTCTGTCGCATATGTTTAGATGAGGCCAACTTTGACAAGGGAGCCTACGAAATGTCCACATTCTTCCTTGACCAAGGATTCCCCAGCACCATTGCTAACAGGGCCCTCAATCGGGTCCGACCCATCTCCCGCATTTCCACCCTCAGCCTTTCCCTTCCCTCCCGCAACAGCAATAGGGTTCCCCTTGTCCTCACGTACCATCCCACCAGCATCCACATCCAGAAGATCATCAGACGCTATTTCTGCCACATCCAGCGAGATGCCACCACCAGACACATATTCCCCTCCCCTCCCTTGTCTGCATTCTGCAGGGACTGTTCCCTTTAGTACACCATGGTCCACTCTTCCTTCACCCCCAACAGTCCCCCACATGCCCACGGCACTTTCCCCTGCAACCGGCGAAGGTGCAACACCTGCCCATTTACCTCCTCCCTCTCCACTATCCAAGGGCCCAAACATACCTTCCAGATGAAGCAACACTTCACTTGCACTTCCCAGAATCTAGTCTACTGCATTTGCTGCTCCCAGTGTGGTCTCCTTTACATTGGGGAAACGAAGCGTAGATGATGTGACCACTTTCTAGACCATCTACGTTCTGCTTGCAAAAAAGGCCCTGAGCTACCTGTTGCCTGCCACCTTTACACACATCACCCCATTCCCTGGCCAACATCTCTGTCTCTGGCTTGTTGCAATGTTCCAGTGAAACTCAACGCAAGCTGGAAGAATGACACCTCATTTTCCACTTGGGGATCCTGCAGCCCTCTGGACTCAATATCGAGTTCAATGTTTTAGGGCCTACACTGTCCCATGCCCTTGCCCCCTACCCCACACACTAGGCCATGTTATCACATAGCCTGTCATTACACATTACCTATTCTATTAGTCACTAACAGTCCTCATTAAGAACTATTCACTCTCCTAGCCAGATTGTTATCAACTCCTTTGTCTATCCAACTGCTCTTCTCTTTTCTGTTTGGGTTCTATCCTATCATTTCTTCCCTACCCCATCCCCCTCCCTATTTTCTGCATATAAACCAGCATTTTCCTAGCTACCATCAGTTCTGAGGAAGGGTCACCAGACCTGAAACGTTAACACTGATTATCCCTTCACAGATGCTGCCAGACCTGCTGAGCTTTTCCAGCAACTTCTGTTTTTCTTCCGGTCCCTCACTGTATCTGGATGTGAGTCATGTGATGCGAAGGAAGGGTGAAGTGTATTCAGACATTTAGAGCTCCGTTCCCTGAATGGAATGTTCAGTAATGAAATGCAAATGTCTGGCCATTCCTTGAGAGAAATGGGCTTTATCTAATGTTATAGCCTACCTATCTCTGCTACAGAAGATTGTGATTGCAAGTCCCACTGCAGCAATTTGAACACTAAATCTAGGTGAAATTCTAATGCATTATTGAGTGAGTGCCATACTGTCAGAAATGTTGCCCTTCAGGTAAGATGTTAGACTGAGGCATAGTCTGCCCTCACAGGTGGACATGTGAATTAAGAGTAGAATATAATGCCCCTTGAATCTTCTTTAAGAGCGCAGCTGATCTGATTTTAATCTCAATTCCACTTTCCTGCCTGTCCCCATAACCTTTCACTCTTTAAAATAAAAATGAAAGAACTGAAGATGCTGGAAATCAGAAACCAAAAGCAGAAAATGCTAGAAAAGCAGCAGGTCTAGCAGCATTTGTGGAGAGAAAGCAGAGTTAACATTTCAGGTCCAGCGACCCATCTTCAGAACTGATGGAAGCTAAGAAAAAGTGTTTTTTTATGAAGATTGGGTCAGGGGAGGGGCTAAGGAGTAAACAATGGGTGGAAATAGAGCCCAAAGAGAGAGACGAGCAGTTGGACAGATAAAGAAGTGGATAATGGTCAGCCTCAATGAATGAATAGCTGTAAATGTGGACTCTTAGTGGCTGACAATTGGTGGTA